ATACTGACAGCAGTGGTGTAAAGCTCACCCTGAACCTGTGAGCAAGATTCCTGATCACATGCCATGCTTACAAATAACTCAATGCTCTGGCTAGTTAGATCAGCCTTTTGATCTAATACAGCTGTTACATTTACCCATCAAAAGAAAATTATTCTGTGTTTGGCAAGCAGGTCTTGGTTAACCTGCACTTCAAAACTTATGTATCTGAAAGATGCTGATCCTTGTGTGAAGTGGCATTAAATGAGACAAAGGAGAACTGCGTGTCCCGAATTAAAAGTCCTCTTTTAAAACTACACTACACACCACACAAGTTTAATAATTTCTTGATCTTGGGTACTCAGTCATGTTTATAAGAGTAAAATCTCATTATGCTCTAAATGGAGACCTGGCAGTCTCTACCTACTTTATATACCATGGTTAGCTAGAGGGACATTAAAGAGCAAGGAAATCTCACAATGCTTGGGCTTTTTAGGACATGATGGAACATTCAGAGTGATTTTCTATTGGAACAACAAGAATTTAATGGAAGGACCACTGTGATGAGATCCCTGCATCATTTTCCCAGATGTTTGCTAATTTATAAAACTATGCAAGCATGCAATAGGGAGAGATCGTGATTAGTCATCGGGTTTCAACCTATTTTACATTACTTGTGGGTTTGAACCATGGGCAGGGGTTCAAATGAAATATGAAATGATGTTGACAGGGATGTGTGAATCAGTGAAGATTGTAACAGATTGTAGTTATGCAGCTGCTGCTCCACTATCTGAGGGGGCAAAGAGGGACCACAGAATGCAGAGGTCTTACCAAGCTCACTCATTTACTGACTGGAACATCTATTCCGGTCCCTGCTGGTCCCTGAATCATAGTAATGGAAGGTTTTACTGCAGTTGTGTGTCATCCTAGGTTCTTTTAGGCACACAAATCTCAGAGCATACAGCAGTGCCTGTTAAATGGTGCACTGACACAGTGAGATGGGGATGGGTGCATTATGTGAGTGTGGACCCCCCACTTCCTGAGGGGGTGACAATAAATTACTTTCCATGGTGCACCATAAATTCCTGGCCACACAGGCATTACAGGAATCAGCTTGGGTAAATTCTAGACTAGCAGGTAGACAAGTAGGAAATGGATCTGCGGATATTTTTAAATTTGGTTACATTGAGTCTAATTGTACAAGGCTCTGAGGGAAAGAAATAATAGGCATTGCAGATTTTAAATTCTATAAAAGGTTTTCAAACAGTTTTCCTGAATGTGAATTGTATCACCCTAGGTACTAACTTCCTGATGCTCCCCATCTATAAAATGCCATGTATTTAAATGATCAAAAAGATATTTGAGTGATGATCTTTATTGTGAAGCAAGACAAAATACCAGAAAATTCAGCTACATCCCCGTTCCTCAAAATTCAGGGCAATCTATGCCAGCAGTTCATAGAAGCTCTTTAATTACAGCACTGAGTAGCTACTGGCACATTCCCCTTTTGCCATAATGAGTAAATCAGTTTGGTGTTTGGTGTTTGGTGCTTGACAAGACAGCTTTGAAAGGTTTAGTTCTGCTCACAGGGCATCCCGGCAGCTTCCTATTTCAGAACAAGCTGAATATCTCCCTCTCACTGTGTTTTGCCATCTCAAGTTTCAAGTTCCAGCCAGAGCAGAAAAATTTCAGAGGGCCTTGTTCAGTCCTTGAATTCCCAGATGTTCAGTGAAGGGAGAGAGGAAAGGAAATCTGGATCAATGGTCTCCTATTTCCCAGCTCAGATTGCTACTCAACACTGGGCCTGAAGAACATAATAACAAATAATCTAATCCTAGTGACAAGGCAAGAAAATTCCCATTTCCCTGGTAATGAGCTGGTCTCCAAACAGGATGCAATGCTGCCATTTGTGAGCTAACACAAGTCTCATTCAACTTACTTCTCAGTGAAAGGTATTCACTGCCCTTGTGTACAATGGGAAGTTTTCCCAGGGATACTGTGCTTTGGAACCAGAATGCTCCAGAACCAAAATGCTCTGAGACATTGGTACCTCTCGTGTTAGTATTCACAGTTCTCTGTGGCAGTAAAGCAGAACCAAGATCTAATATATGTGCAGTACAGTACAAAATTCCTGGTGCAAACCCAGAGGCAGCAGAGACGGGGGGATGCCTTTGTAGCTTACAGCAAACAGAAGCAAAAATAGCTTTGTGTACAGTGTTTTGGATACCAACAATCTCATTTAAGGCAGTGGGAAAAGTGACATCATTTGTGTACAGTCACAGTTCACAGACACATATGATACTTTTACTGTAGTAATATTCTACAGATATAGTAGATATATATACAGATATAACAGACACATACATATAATATAAATATAGATATACTAACAGAGGTGAAAAAAGTCATACTAGTTCACCCTGGAACCATTCCCATCATACCATTTTTAAGCATTTGGAATGGACTTTGAAAATTGATATATTTATTTTACAGCAGTTTCTTTCCACATTCCTTTCCCTGGCAAGTAGATTCCACATTCTGATTCCTGAATTTTGTCTGAAATAGTATAATTCTGTACCACCTCATTATCTTCCCAATCCTCCCAGATTATCATCAGAGTAATACTTATAATTTGTGTGACTATTGTCCTTAGATTTGTTAACAAGTTAATCCTAGTGGTGAAATTGAAACCCCAGCTGTCATTTAAATATGCAGTGTTGGCGGCCTACAAACAGCTGTGGTTTGGCCCCTGTGACACTAGAAGTAGTATTAGTGAGTTTTATGTCCTGGAGCTACTCAGGTACTTTTGAACAGTTTTCCCCTCCTAGATCAAATGGATGGGTGGACCCAACTATCACATTTTCCAGGCAAATAGGTACTACAAGGTTTTCTTTCAACAGGATGCTTGGAAGTTCTTTTCTGTGCTCTGACACAGTATTATTATTTTTTTAAATATGCCTGTAGCTCCCTTGTTTGCCAAAAATTAGTGAGTAAGCCTTGTTCAGTTGTGATAAAGAGAAATTAGTGTTGTTGGTTATAAGATGTTCTATTCTGATTCAGATGGGATGAAATAAAGTCTGCTGATAGTAAAAGTAGCTTTAAGCACAAGCACAGAATCAGTATGTTCAAGAGTGCATTTGGAAATAATATAATATAAAGTTTACATAGCAAATCCAGTAAAAGCTCGGTGCCAGTGATATGACTTAGTACTGCTGGATGTCACCCTGATGCACTTGCATTATTGAACAGACTCTGGAGGACAGTTAACAATTGATGAAGCTGGTGTTGAAAGCTGCCAGACATATGAGAACTTTCAGGTATTTGTTTAAAGCATGAATTAAAAATAACCCTTTATCTGTACAAACAATACCTTATGAAAACAATGTGGAGAATTTAAAAACCGTTTGGTTTATTTGTACCATTTATTTTTCACATCTCCAATGGTTTGTTCAAAAAACCTCATCACCCAGATCAGTCACACTCACCTTCATTTATACTTTACATTGTGTTCAAGCTGGGACAGTGCAGAAAAGGCAAAGTTTGGGGCAGAGTTAAAGCATTGCCTTTGTTCAATGAAATGCTTCTGGAATCCTTGGAAAAGTGATGTAAAATTAGTATAGGCTCTTAAAAATCAAAGCATTGGAAGTCATATGAATATTTGTTATTTTTGTTGAAAATGGGAATTCCGGTAAAAAGACTCCCACTCTTTGCTTGTCTGTTGCTCTACTCCCTTCCTGCTCCTCTTGCTCTCCTTCCCCAGCTACAGCTCTCAGAATACAGTGAACTAGAGCCACGTTCTCAGGATTTCAACCCAGTTATCTGGGATATCAGGCTGCAGCAGATTTCCCACTTTTTGCACTCCCACTTAGCATTCTTAACACTGTTGCACATGGCAAGATTATTTTGGAGAGCTTTCAATCCTAAGGTACTGTTTGGTTCCTGCAGAGGAGTATCCAGAGGACGGTGCTACCTCAAGTACCCTTTCCAAAATGTCCACTCTAAGAACTGAATTTTGCAGGCGTGCTCAGCAATGGGAAAAATCAAATCTCTTACAACAGACTTCGTGGAATACCAAATGGTTGTCAAGACCCAGAAAATGCTTGATCTATTTGGGCAAAACTGTGGGAAAGGACATGTTCTTTTCTGGCAGTGGCACAGTAATAACTGTGCTTTGGCCCTCTCTGACTCCTGGGCCTAAAGGAGAGTGAACCAACCTGTTGATTTCATTTGAAGCACACACACAGAGGCAGCTTCTCAGCCACTGAGAGCTCCAGTTAACAGAACATCTCCAGTGTGCATCACCTGGGGACTCTGAGCCATAGTTCTGTGTGAGGGAACACCTTTCTAGAGAAATATATATATACACACACTCAGAGTGGAAAGAAATCTATATATGTGTGTGTGTGTGTGTGTGTGTTCATACACAGTCCAGTCCACATGGATCCAATCCACAGCATGCAACTTTTTGAGCCAGTTTCCTCCTTTTCCCTGTGTCTTAGGGAACAGCTGCTCTGTTGATCTCAGACGTATATTTGAATTATACTTTAAAAAATAAATGCAACCTTCTGTTCTGATGGAGGCTGTATCAGCCCCATACCACTGTACTGCTATGGTCAACGTTATTTCCCACAAGGAGTGACTCGTGAGGGAATGAGGGATCCCTTCCTGTTCCCGGAGAGAAGCGTTAATCCTGTGGCAGAAATGTCCAGGAACTTTCTCCCGCAGCTTCTGTCCCTCGGCACTCCTGGAAGCTCTGCTCGATGCCTTGTGTCACACCGCCCCCCCAGGGACGTGTCCAGCACTGTCGTGGCACTGCTGGGAAGGGAGTCCTGCCCGTCCACGCGCTTTAATCCCGTGTGCCAAAGTCCGGCACAGGTGCTTGCTCTGGGCTTTTGCCTCCTTTTTAATTTTTGTCCTTTGTCTGGGGCATCCCGTCCGTTAGAGAAGCATCTTGAACCTCGTAACGGGAGTCGCTTGTGTTCTTATGATCGAACACTGAAAATGTGCGGGACCTTTATTTTCAGAGGCCAGACACAGGAAGTGGAAATAGATTTGCTAATGAGACAACGTGCCAGCGGAAATGTGCTCATGCTGTTTGATGTGCTGCAGTGGAGCTCCACACACAGCTGCCTCCAGCGAAGCTTCTGTCCACTGCACATGGCACAGAACTCACAGAGCTGCTTCACCACCCTCCAGGAAAGCTTTTATCAAGCTGAGACCCTGCATTAGAATTTACCTCCATTCTGCTGCTTTCTGTTGAAATTTTCCATGCCAGCATCTGCCTCAGAGTTGCATCTGCACCGAGTAAAGGACTCACTTCCCTGTGGTGGGTTTCTGTGGTCTCCATTGCTGTTGCCATCATATCTTCTACACCTTTGGGAAATTAGAGGTGAAAGCCCAACCTATCAAGTTGCTACAAGATCTGGACTGGCATGGAGTGTGTTCACAGTGTTTGCTGTGAGAGGCTGCATTGTACTCAGTTGCCAGTTGGGGTTAAACCACGACAGTGCTCAGGGCAAAAGGCTTGTTGATACCCTTTTCAGATGAGTGTTCAGGGCATCTGCCAATCTTATTCCACACATTCTGAGCTTACCACTTCGAAAAGAAGAAAGAAGCCATGGGAGATGATGTTCTTTCTATCTTTATGCACTTAATCTAGAAATGGGGGATGGATGTTTAGCCACAGGAAGTCCCAACGTGTGTGCTCTGCACAGAGCCGGCCTCTTTTCTGAGCTGTATTTGAGAAGGACGTTAGTCCTCTAACAAAAGCAAACAGGTCTACCCCTAAAGAAAGGGGTTTAAATAACTTTGCAGGTGGCATGCAAGGATTGTCTGGCAAAGACTGAATTAGATCCTAGCTCTTCAGGTTAGCATTCATTCCACCTCTCCAGGGCCAGCCCTCCTTTGTTCCATGCTCTCCAGTCTCTACAGCAAATGCAGAAGTCACCTAAGGCAACAATCTGCTTCACTTGATCCATGAGTGATGTTCTTCTAGTGATTATGAAGGAAGCCAGGATCACAGGGAAAATGTGCATCATTAGACCCTATCATAATTCATACACACGGGAGGCAAATTAACATTTTCAAATATTTAAGACCACAGATGTCTGAGGAATACAGCAAAACAGAATAACGCTCCAGGCAAACTTCCCCACTGTAAATTCTTAGAATATATGCAAGATACCAATTCAGGACCAAATTCTAAGCTCAGATGCTCTCAGATGGAGCCTACAGCATAGATGGATGGCTACATATATCCCAAAAGAGGATGCTGTGTGGAATATCTCTGTTGTAGTAGAGATGATGTGCTATATTAAATAGAAATTTCTAATTTATAATCCTAAATCACAAGCTCCTGTTCTGCACTGACTGCAACCATTATGAGCATGCCTGCAGGATTTATCTTGGCTATCATCTAAATTACTCTGATCTGAAGAGGGATGGGAGCAAGAGATGAGACTCCAGTGCAAAATCAAGTGATTTGTCCTGAAGAAATCTCACGGAAAAAAGCAAAAGGAAAATTGTCCACAGAGCTTCTACTCCAGTTTTCCTCTGCATTCAACATGGATGTCTCACTGCAAGGCACTTGAAATACCCTTGCTGTAAGTAAAGCTTTTGAGATCTGAGTGCTCAGAGTTGCATCAGTCACCAATTATTTTTCAGTAGGCAAAGAGGTTGCATCACAAATATACTTGTCCTTACGCATCCTCACATATGTGATAACTGCTGTGCATTGTGACTTCCCAATAGATCAAATCGTCCTTACTTAAGTATTTATCTTGGCAAGCAGAGATAAAAAACATTTAAAGGCTATCACATTTGCTGTGGGCATGGCAACTGAAACAAAGAAATATGCAAATCTTTGTGCAAAATTATACTTTTCAAAGAGTTTCACTGAATGGCTGTCAAGCCACAAATGAAAGAAGGCAGAAAACTCCATTATTATCTCGCAAAGGAACGAGGTGGAACAGTGTGGATGGTTTTGGTTCCTGGACACGAAACATCAGGGATGGAGGATGAAGGGTCTGTCTTGGTAAGCTGACACCTTTTTATTTAGCAGTTTTTCACAGCTAAATGCTGCCTAGAGAAGTCATATCTGATGTCTGTCATCCCAGGAAATGTTGTGCTGAGCAGAGTTATGCAGTCCCTCCCAACCTCCTCGTAATTCCAAGCACTTTCTGTTCTTTTGTCATGGGGATTTTAATAACTCCACAGCAGGGGAGAAGAGACATTTTTTTTTTGTGCCTAATATTGCAAGTTAAAGTTGCATCTTAAAATAAAGTTACTAGGCCATGGTCAAAGGCTTCTTAAATGAAACCAAAGTCATGCATTTTTTTTCTTTGAGAGGTTTGCAAGTTTGCAGCCTTCTGGACTAAAAAGAGGAACTCTTAAGAGAAAGCAGGACATAGGCCTTGTATTTCTAGTAATTTTTGAGGATGTCTTTCTTCATAGTCCCACTGTGACTGTGCAAGGCCATACTGTTTTTCTGAGCCAGACCCTCGTCCTGTTTGCTCAGGAAAGGAATTGGTTCTCCTCTCCAGGTATATTGTATCAACTGTAAAGTCAAGAATGGCAGTGCTAAAATGAAACTAGAGAGCCAAAAGTACACAAACACATTGATTTTACCATATTCAATCCTTGTTAACCAGTTTCCTTACTTCTGAAAGACTAAATACATTGCCAACATAATCCACACAGAGGTGAGAACTGACTGTTCTGGTTAAACTCTGGTTGCAGAATACTGGTTAGAGAGGGCCAAGTGACAGGGGTACAAGGAGAATACAAGCAGAGCAGATCTAATTGAGGTTTCTTACTCATTGTCTGTGTGTAAGGATGAGTGGGGCACAACAAGAGCACTAAATATATGCATTGGTTAGGAAAGACAGAAAACAACTGCAGTGAAAATGCTCCTTTAATTTAATGTATGTCTTCATTATACATTGTGGCAGAGGATGGAGAGTAAGCAAAAGGACCCCTTGGCTAATGTAAAACATGACCACCTTTTTGCTCCTTAAATTTGTACAAGTAATTTTTAGATGTGTATCAAAGTCTTGTTGTATGAAACAAATTTAAACATGGTCTTCCCTGTTAATTTTTGCTCTATTTATACAATATTTGTTAGAAAACTATATAATTACATGCTTTCTGTACAACCTCTAAAATATATGTTGGGAATGTTACTTACCTGACTGATCAAATATGACAACTTTGAAGGATGGGGGATATGTGAGGAAGCTCCATGGTTTTGTGTCAGGATAACATTTACAGCCATTATATTCACAGTTTGATATTTTTTACCTAATTCTGCTTCTAAGTGCACAGCTAGAAATACAAACTATCTCCACGGAGTGTAGTCAAAGTAGTTTCTGATGCTGTGGAGAATTGGATCTTTCACGCTTTGAATTCTTCTCCCCTGTGTAAACACAGTGAAAAAGAACAAAGGGGGTAAGGAACAGTGTTCTACCAAGGAGATTTGTGACCACCAAGACATCTTTGATACGAATATTTAAAGTATCTCATCCGAAAATCCATACAGAACTGTCAGTTTCTAAAATATTCTCCTGTGAAATAGTGCAGTGCTGTGTAAAATACACTGAGACAGATGCTTTCCGTGTCTACACGAAGGTCACACAACAAGCAAAACCAGTGGCAAAATTGTATTTCTCACATTAGTTACAGTAAGAGAAAAGGTCTAAAACTCCTAATATGCAGGAGGAGTCACAGTTCCTTAGATCAAAAAAATCCCCACTTTTACAGGTATTATGCTGGTGGACTTTTTTTGCCCTATGTGAAAAGGAACTGCATATTGGTATGATCTTGGCATAGGCAAATTGCTGAGCCAATTGCTGTGCTTTTATTACAGGTTACAATCATAGAGTGGGAAATTCAGCAACAAGCCAAATTTGAGGCCATGTAACTCTTTAAAAAACACCCCAAGTGTGAGGTGACGATATTTGCAAATAATCATCAGAGACACAAGATAACCTCGACCCACAGGGCTCCTGAAGGCAGAGCCCAGAGCTGGCACACGCTCCAGGCTGTGCATCCTGCGGGACAGGACACGGGTGGGTGAGAGGCTGGACGGGACCGGCCATGGGCACGTCCTGGCCTCTTCCAAAGCGGTGAGGGCAGCAGGGCAGGGGGACTCTGCCCCTCTGCCCCTTCAGGGGAGACCTCCCTGCAGAGCTGCTCCAGCCCTGGGGAACAGCACAGCAAGGACATGGAGCTGCTGGAGCGAGCCCAGAGGAGACACCAAGAGGGTTAGAGGGATGGAGCAGCTCTGCTGGGAGGAAAGGCTGGGAGAGTTGCGATTGTTCAGCCTGCAGAAGCTCTGGGGTGACCTGATTGTGGCCTTCCAGGACCTGAGGGGAACCTAGAGGAAAGATGGAGAGAGACTATTTAGCAGAGCACAGGACAAGGGGGAATGGCTTCAAACTGACAGAGAGTAGCTTTAGATTAGATATTAGGAAAAAATTCCTCCCTGTGAGGGTGGGGAGGTCCTGTCCCAGGCTGCCCAGAGAAGCTGTGGCTGCCCCGGCCCTGGAAGTGTCCAACGCCAGGCTGGACGGGGCTTGGAGCAACCTGGGCTAGTGGAAGGTGTCCCTGCCCACGGCAGTAGGTGCAAGGGGGTGCTCTGCGAGGTCCCTTCCCACCCCAGCCATTCCCTGCTTCCCTCAGGTCGCTCCCGAGCACGAGCGCTCCCGTCACGGCTGCCGGCAAAGCGCGGCGGGCGGAGCGCGGAGCGGGCGGGTGCGCGCAAAGCCCGGCGCGGCCCGCGCGGAGCGGAGCGGGAGGCCGGCCCTAAGATGGCTGTTGTGCGCGGGGCGCCGCCGCTGTAGCGCCGCGAGGAGCCGCCCGCCCGCCCCGCTCCGTGTCCCGCACCCCGCCATGGAGTGCCCGCACCTCGGCTCCAGCGTCTGCATCGCGCCCGACTCGGCCAAGTTCCCGCAGGGCTCGCCCTCCTCCTGGTGCTGCAGCGGTGAGTGCGGCCTGCGTTGCGCGGCCCGCCCGGCCCGCGGTGGCCCGGCCGCTCCTTTGTCCTCGGTGCCCGGCGGCGGGAGGGCCCCCGCGGCCGGGGGAGGGCCCGGGGGCGCGGGGCAGGGCAGCAGCCCCGGCCCGCTCCGGCGGGGCCGCCCAGGCGGGACCCTCCCTGGGGGGGCTGCGCGTCCCGCCGCCCGCGGGGTGTGCGGGGCGTGCGGGGCGGGGGCTGCCTCACAGCCCGCTGCTGTCCCGCTGCTGTCCCGCTGCTGGCCCGCTGCTGTCCCGCTGCTGCCCCGCTGCCCCCGCAGCCTCGGCCGGCCGGGGCGGGCCTGGACTTTGTCCCGGGGCCGGTGCCCCCCGGCCCGACCCGGGGCCGCTCCGCGCTCCTTTTGTCCGCGGAGGGGCCGCGGGCGGGCTCTGTCCGGACCGGCGCTGAGGGACCGGGGGCGGCTGCGGGATCGGGGGGTGCTGGAAATCCGACCGAGATTACTCTCCTTTTGTTTTGTGTTTTTTTTGGAATATACATCTGTGCGAGGACTTTGGAGAGTGTAGTTTATTGGAGTGCTGCGGCTGGAGGCGTCGCTCGGGACCCCCCTTCGATCCGCGGTGAGGGTGGTGGGGGGTCGGGGCTCACCCGCTCTGTCCGTGGGTCGGTGCGGGTGTAGAGGCCGTCTTTTTTTAGTACTTTGCTCTTCGATTTAATAATGCAAATTACCGCCTGTGCAATATACCCTGCCTTCGGTTCTGTCCGTCGCACGCTCTTGTTTGTTCAGGGGCTTTCCCTTTAAAGGTGCCGTGCTCGAGGTCCTTCACATTTAGCTTTCTAATGGGTCACCGCACACTTCCACACAGGTAACCCCCGAGGTTTGCCGGGGATTTTGGTACGTGTTTTTGTTTGCTGGAGTTTTAGTTAGGCTCGATATGAAAGCAGAGGCAAGCCCGGTTTAAGGTGGGATGTAGGCCCAGCTTAGAGGGGCAGCCGGTGGGCACTGGAGAGAAAGCCTCCCTTGGGAATGACCGATCCGGGAGCCCTGGGCGGCTGGATAATTCGAGGTGTCCCTTGTTTTTAAAAGAAAGACGGTTGTCCTTTGTCTGGCAGCGTCGGTGCCTCCGTGTGGGAAGGCTCTGCCTGCTTAACTTGTTCCCTGATTGCAGTTTCCGGGAGCCAAGGTGTGGTAGCGTCGCTGCTTCCTTTGGCCAAACCAGTTACTTTTCTCTGAAATGCTTTTTGATTTGGAGGGTGTTCACTTTGCAGCGCAGTCATGCGGAGAAATGATTAGAAGGAGTGGGAGAAGCACGGGGAAACTTGTTGTCCCTGATGTTTCTTTACTGAGGAAAAAAAATTTATTTACGAGAAGTTTAAGTCTGTGGGTCCATCTGTTATCTTCGGAATATCAAGGGTGAGCAAAGTTGTCAACCAGAAGCATATGGCAGTAGGGAACCACCCTTCAGAGAACTTAAAAAAGATAAAAGTGCCAAAACTAAAAATATATAATGAGGTGTTAATATAACTTAGGAGCTTAAAAAAAAAAGCCAGTTTACAGCTGCAAGTCCCTGTTTTTCATGCTGCTTCTGCTTCTCAACAAAGAAGTTCAGCAGTTAGAACAAGTTTTTCTTTGTCGCTCAGAGGTGTTTCTGCCAAAGCAGCACTTACAGGGAGAGCCAGGTGCTGGGCAATCAACCGATTTATTTTACAGCTCTGAGGCAGGAAGAAGGGAACTCGCTGCCATATCTGAGGGAGTTTCTTGTTTGTAATGCTTTTAAAGAAAATTAAGATAAGTCACGCAGTACTCACATAGATAACTGTGGAAATCTTAACAAGTGGCTAGAGAAAAAGTACATTGAACTTAAAACATTCCAGTGAACAAACAGCAGGCTCTTTTTAATTTGAAGTAAATGAAAATCGTTCTTTTTCAAAATAAATGTTGCATTTCTACTGGCATAGTAAAATGCAGTGCCTCACTTCTCACTTTCAGCTAGTAACGTGATTATTGTTGCATTAACTCCCTATTGGTATGTAGAGTATTGTGTTTTTCTTGTTTGTATTCATTTTAGCGACCTTAATTTTTTTTAAAGACATGTAATACTGGTTTGTGTCAAGTCACTGTAAATACCATGTATTATTTGCTAGTTTTTCCGGTAATATAAAATTAAACAGAGAAAACACCGTGTGAAAATTAATATCTTGTCAAAATTTAATGCATTTCCTGTTACTTTTGATACAATTTCTGAAGTTCTGTGGGTTTGGTTCTTTTTGTTCTCAGTGGGCTGTCAGCTGGAGAAAAATATTCAGGAGGTGATTTTCTGCAGTCTGTAATTACAAGGCATCTCTCATCAAGTACGTTGTCTTTAACTCAGAGCTTGTTGTCAGGCCTGTTGCTGGTTGCTGCTGACCTTTCCAGAAAAGGAGGGTGATCTAGGAAGCTTTCTGGCAGCCACCTGACATGCCAGCGAGAGCAAAACATTACAGAGTAGGTTGGAGAGCGAGTTCTTAGCTCAGAGTGCCCGTGGCTATTTTTATCGTTATCTGCTGTTTCTGAGGTTTGAGGAGCTGGAGTTGCCGTGCCGAACGGTGCATGTTGGTTAAGTACCTTTTCCTTGTCTCTCTGCAAAAACTCTTGATTGCAGCAATAATTTCACAATCTGGAGGCACTTTGGAATATTGTTATTTGATTCACAGCATTGAATGTTGTGTCATTGTGCAATGTAGGAGTGTTGCATTTGGTGCTGGTATTTGGAGCCAGCTTTACTCAAGTTACTGAGCATGTGCATCAGCCTGAATTGCTCTTTTGGCCTAAATCAGTTCCCCTTGAAAGCTACCTGCCAGACTTGTTTTTGGAGGCCTTGTGGTGAAGGACTCTCTAAAAAAGCACTAAGATGAAGCATTGGCAGCAGGGTGTTTTTGCTCTAAATGAGTAAGTAATGCTGTATGTTCATTGTTGGGTGTCTCTAGAACTTCTGTTACTATCACATAGGTTGGAGGTCTGAGAGTTTAAGCCACCCCTGTTTAGAGAATGGTTTTGCTTTCCCCCGAGTATTTAATGCAGTCAGGCATGCTCTGTGCAGTGAGCAGTGCAGAGAGCAGCTATGCTTTGAGGAGCTTCAGGACTATCAAAAGAGAGCACAGAATGATTTTTCTGCAGATCCAGAGACAGTTTGTTGTTTTCATAATTGGGCATTTAGGAGGAGATGAATATATAAAGTAGAAATAGTGCAGAAACTGAAAATGGCTTTTAATCAGTGCTGTCACATGAAATGCTGCATGCAGATGTCTGCTAATTCCGATTAGAGTGCAGTCTTTCCAAGCACTTTAATTTCTGAAACTTCTGCTCAAGTTGGAAGCAGAGTAGCTGGAGGCATTGGCAGGACTGCAAAGTGTCACAGACTGAATCTGTTGAATTTGTAAGATGGGCCACACCTTCAGCACTGTTGTGCAAATCGTGTAATTATGAAAAGCAGTCTGGAACAGCTCAGATGTGGTATTTCTCAACAACTTTTCACAGACTCATCAAACCACAGGGAGCTGTGTCTCACCTAAGTGAGATTACAATCTTCTGAGCACACCTGTGGAAATCTGAGGAGGTTTTCCAGTTTTTTTTCTGCTTGGTTGAGGATTCATTAAGTGTTCTTACTGGACTCACTGGTTGTTCAGTGTAGAATTTGAAGTTCTGTTTTTAGGAGGACAACTGCAGACGTGGGATTGTGTCTGCTGAAATAGAGATTCTGTGATTTTTTTTTTCTTTTAAAAGGGAATTGCACTTCTGAAATGCTTAAAAACTATTGCTTTTCAGATCACTATCAAATTAATA